AATTCTCACGCTGGCAGGGAAATTCAGAATGCTGTTGTCCAAAACGAGGAAAAAAAGTCACTCCCCCAAACTCAGCCTCCTTTGGCTCCCGGTAGCTATGCAGTGGTCAGGAAGAAGACACATTCCACACGCTCAGAGCCGCCCCCCCGTGCATGTTGTGGAATCAAGTCTGAAGCTCCAGTGGAAACCCAGCCTGGATTCGAACTCAGATTGACGTCTAGGAATGGCCTCGAAGACCAAACAGGGGAGGAGGAGATGGGGAGGAAAGGAGCTCCTTCCACCCGTCTCCCGGGCCTGGCATCAGGATTGCCACTTTCCTGCAGAATTACGGGAGCAAACCCGAGCCAGACTCTACCGAAAGCAAGGATCTACCGAGTCCTTGCCAGACCCAGTTCAATACAGCCTTCAATAGGTCTTCCCAGAAAGCCACGAGGGCATAGTGTAGAAACGACAAGCCCAGCGCCGGGTGGAAGAGATCAGGGAGGTCATGCTGGACATCCAGCGGTCAGAAGGACTTAGGGCCTTGGTCCCGTCACTTACTTGCAAAATGGCCTTCTCTTTGTCCACTGGAGGAACCCGGGTGCTCTCCCTCCAGACCGCCAGGGATGGCAGCGAACAACCACCCAGTCCTTGGTCGGAGATCCTAATCTGGACAGAACCATATGGAGGAGTTTCCCCTTGTTTTTGGCACAGGTCTCTCTCGTGCCAGAGCAGAACCGTGGGGGGCACCGGGATGTTCCGGACGTCGCGGCCTCCACCGGACCCACCGCCGTTTCCCCGCCTCCCGATGGGTGGCCAGTTTTGGGCTCCGGACAGCTGCTCCATTGGCTTTTAGCAGGGCCACGTGACCCACACGACGAGGAAAAGAAAAATTAAGATTTAGAAACACTGCTCATAAACGGGGCTCCTTCGCATGGGGCAGCAGGGAGGATAAAGCGGAACCTTTGCCATAGATAAAGCCAGAGAAGGAGGGAAGTTGTTAATGGACGGCCAAGGAGCCCTTTGCACAGTCCGAGAAGAAGCTCATTAAAAAATAAGGGAGGAAAAAGACTAGACCTGATTTATTGTCTAGCTGCTGACACACACACACACACTCCACCCAATTTAACAAGGACTCCCTTTCACGAGGCATTGTCTGGCGCAGCTGGGCCCTGCTGCTAAAACAGAGTTTTGCCCCAGCTCAGTTTAATCCAGATTGGTTAAACTGGAGCAGCTTTTCCAAGTAGAGACGTATGCCTTCCATTTTTAAGGGTAGGGAACTGCCTTTCTGGCCGGTTGGCTTCCTTTGGGACAGGCTTGATTTTTGGACAGTGGCATTACAAGACACTGGCAAGGCTTAATTGTGATTGTGGGGCCATGGGGAGATGGGCGAGGCCACCCCCCAGCCATCCTAGTTTTGTCCAAGATCAGTGGAAATTTCAGAATGTCACCATGACCTTGTCCTGGGAATTAACATAGAGCCTGTACCAATGACGTTTGTCTCAGCCGTGCCAGAATGGAGGCCTGAGACCCGAAACATACAGATTTATAGTGGCTTTGTTACCCATCCTACTCTCGACTCATTAAAACAACAACAGATATAGTGGTGCCTCGCTAGACGATGATAATCTGTTCCACTGAAATTGCTGTTTAGCGAAATTATCGTCTAGCAAAAAGCATTTCTCCATTGGAATGCATTGAAACTTGTTTAATGCGTTCCAATGGGGAAGAATTGTCGTTGTCTAGCGAAGATCGGCCATAGGGAAGCCGCTTTGCGAACCGCTGATCAGCTCTTTAAATATCTGTCTTGAGAAGCTTAGGTCCCAAAAACACCCATTTTGCGAGCACGGAGGGAGCTGTCAAAATCGTCGTCTAGCGAAAATCGGTTGGCGAAGCAGGGACCAAACATTGTCCAGCGAAATTCCCCCCTAGGAATCGCTGTTTTGCAAATCGCTATAGCGATCGCAAAAAGTCAATGTCTAGCGAAAAAACTGTCATGCGGGGTAACTGTCTAGCAAGGCATCACTGTAATTGAAAAGGAACTCAAAGATCTTCTAACTCAACCCCAACCATATTGGAAGTCCAGTGATTCTCTCTTTCTCTCCTAGGTAAGTAGGTTGGCATCCAATTCGTGCTTTAAAATCCTCTGGCAGAGGCCAAGCTGGTGCCTTTTGAGACGGCTCCAACTGCTGAACAAGCTCATCAAGAAAACCTTCATATTTAGTCAATATTTTGCCAAGTTTACATTGCAACAAAAGACCCCTTTGCTCATCACGTTGATGGTCAACGCGGCGAGATTTGAAACTGGGTCTCTTGTCCCCTTGGCTAAAATACTTGCTTTGGTTGTGGAGAAAGGGACGTTGTTTGGGTTTACGGGCATCGCCATTTGGGGAGATGGCCAGGGAGATCTTAAGAGTTTGTGGAAGAGACGTGGCTGGTCTCTGTGAACTGAGCCCACCTTGATTCTTTCTTGGGAGATGATCTAATAGCAAAATTGGGGGAATCTAATAGCAAAAGCACAGACCTATAAATGATCTGGTGAAATAGCGGAGCTTCAAATATATAAGAAGGGGGGGGTTGTTGAGCTTCCCCTTCCAGTGACCGAAGCTGCTCATGTACAATATTCTTTATATGTGTGTATATAATAGATGTAGGTACATTTATAAGCACATATATAGGTAATATGTACATATGTATCTATCTACATACGGTATCCATGTTTGCACGCATATTTTTATATTTGCCTACACATCCATCTGTAGTGCTTTGCCTCTGCGGCCAGAGAAGGAAGAGGGCTGTTTCTGAGGGCATGCAGAGTGCTCTGAGCCGCAGTGGCCCCTCGGTTCCGGCATCTCAGGTAAGGGACGGCCAGCCTCCCTCCGTCCCCACGGCCGGCTGAACTGAACACAGCAGCGCGAATGGGGAGGGGGGGCCCTTCCGGCTGCATCGTAGGCAATTATCAGCTGAAATGCCAGATGTTCGGAGCCGGTGCCAATGGCATGAGGAATACATCTCGGGCAAGGGTTCAAGGTCTCTCCACCAGGGCGGGAGAGGTAAAGCCGCCTTGTGCTTCTTGCTCGGGCCGGCCGAGGGAGGTGGAGGGGAGGCAGGCCGGCTGGGCGAAGTGGCTACTTCCTCGAGCAGGCAGCTTGCTATTTTGGGCTAGAGGGTTTCGGGGGGACAGCCCGGTTCCAGCCGGCCTTGGGGGCTCGTTGGCTCTCCCTCTCAAGGTCTTGGCTAGCTGGGCGGATGTTGAAAGAGGCCCCTTTTCCCAGCAAAGGTTGGATGCAGGTCAGGGCTATTCATGGAGGGGGACAATTTTGGGCCAGGGCGGGAGGGGTAAAGCCGCCTTGTGCTGCTTGCTCGGGCCGGCCGAGGGAGCTGGAGGGGAGGCGGGCCTGCTGGGCGAAGTGGCTACTTCCTCGAGCAGGTGGCTGGCTATTTTGGGCTAGAGGGTTTCGGGGGGACAGCCCGGTTCCAGCCGGCCTTGGGGGCTCGTTGGCTCTCCCTCTCAAGGTCTTGGCTAGCTGGGCGGATGTTGAAAGAGGCCCCTTTTCCCAGCAAAGGTTGGATGCAGGTCAGGGCTATTCATGGAGGGGGACAATTTTGAATTTGGAAGGAGGAATAAGAAGTTGGGGGGGGGCCTTGAGCTTCCCCTTCCAGTGACTGAAGTGGCTCATGGTTCCGGAGGACTGAGAGGATGACACTCTGCCCATGCTCAGGAGGAACCCCTTCAAATGTCATGATTGAATGTTGGATTCCCCGCCCCCCAAAAAAAGACTCATCTCACAAACTTTCTTCCTGCTTGAGGGTCTGCAATCCAGATAGCCAAGGCAGAATGCGGCCCTTCTAGATTTTTTCCAGGACTACAATTCCCAGTTTCCCCCACCCTTGGGTCTG